CTCTCGGTTGAACTCTAAACTAAGCTGTGCAGCGCTCTTTCAGAAGCGACCTGGCGATCACAAATGATAGCGCACCGAAGTGGCTTATCATCATCATGTGGACATTTTATAGCAGCCAAATACTCTAAATGCGTGTTGATTCTAAATGTGGAGGGAAAAACTGGAAGAACTGCAGTAAAATCCCCGCAGTTGCCGGGATAACATGCCAACTCCAAATATACAGCAGGCATCGTCAGGGTCAAGATCGAACCCATGACCTCCTGTATACCAGCCGAGGTAGTCAACATCATCATCATCATCATCCTCACCAATAAAGGTTATTAAACATTAATGCTTACATGTCAACCCATACGGTTTACCCATATTCTTATACAAGGAAATAGTTTTCAGGTCCATACAGCATGCAGCCATTTCAATACGGGCAAAACTAATTTTTAATAAATGTCTGTGTTTCTCCCTTGTGATGGGACTTTGTAGGATGAATGTTAATAATTACAAGGGCACGTGGTGACCAATAATGTCTGAATTGGTCTGTAATAAGGTAGGCACTGATAAGGGGTTCACAGGTATGGTAATGTTGTATTATCGTTGTGGTGTTCAACAAAGTGGTTTTGCACTACACCTGGGACTTTTATTTTGAAATGCATTCAACAAGCCGTCGTGCTGTTCAATGCCTGCACAGAGGACGGGGATGCCTCGGCACAGGCTAGGAGCCCGGGGATTTGGGCTTTTATTGTGGAGCACACCCAGAGGTGCCCCCAGAGCTCATTGCGATGCAGGGCTCCGTGCGTCCGTTCCGTCGGCCGTTTCGTTCCGCTAACGCGGAAACGCGTGCCAGAGTGTCACACGTGGGCAACGTTGATACCGCGCGCGTGCGCCGCATTAAATAGGAATGTCATTGTTGTGGTGCCACGTGTGCAGTGACATTTGATTTAGTTGGAATGCGGCAGAATATGAAATATGGATACCGATTTTAATTTTTTTCGTGAGATACGGTTGACGATCCTTCTCTCGACGATGCCCACCGCAGCGCGAGAGAAGTAATGCGCGACCTGTGACCCAACCCAGAAGCCCAAACTTGAATTAGCTTTGCTGGTGTCACTGGATTATTAATAATGATGATGATTTACATTTGTAAGGAGCATTTCAGCCGTAGACCCCAATGCGCCACCGTGTATGGAAAGCAGGAAATAAACAGAACCTGCAAGGTAAACGGCCAAAACTAGAGTGGTGAAGGCCAGTTTAGAGAGGTGAGTTTATATTCTGCACTTGCTCTGTTTTACGATTATCGTACAGACACTGCGGTTCCCTTCCCGAAGCTCAACGCTCCGCAATGGAATTGGCCAAACATCCCAAGGCCGGACCGAAAAAACCCACGCATTCATGGGGGAAAAAAACACTCAAAATCTCCGCACAGATAGATTCAATCTACTTACTCGACGGCCATCTCCTGGCCACTTTGCAGCCCATTCATTGGGTTTGAAATTACCCCTTTCTGCTGTCCACTGACCCTTCCCTCCAAGGTACCGGTTGATGTTAATGGTTAGATTTCATGTTCACTTTTAAGCGTGTGAACACGCAACACATTTCCCATGAGTGTAAACGTGTTTGTTAAAGCTCCGTGTAAAATTATTTTGTGCTCGCATACATTTTTTAAAGTTGATTGAGTTCGTGGTCTTAGCCCAGTCACAAAAAACGTGTCATTAAGTTTGGTGTTGTGCATAATTTGGATAATTTACAGGTCTGAGAATGAAGCGTATCTGTTTGAACACTGCTCTCACTGTGAATGGTGTAGACGGGTGGGGGAATTGCTGCCCCCTAGTGTCAATAAAAAGTCACGTTAATACATCTCACAAGTACGTATGTATGTTGAACTTCTTTTGCACCGTACGTAGCCAACTGTGCTAATCGGAGGTGCGGGGGAAGGACAACAACACTAAACGCAAAAAGCAGTTCTAAAGAAATGAATTTTCAATCGAGATTTAAAAGTGCATAGCTCCACAGTGGCTCCCTAATGCTGGAAGGCAGAGCGTTCCAGACAGCCGCAGAAGCGCATTTGAAAGCGCGCGATGTAGTGAATAATAATGCAGTTAATAACTCGCACAATATTTAACGGAAGAACACAAAAGCTTTGATCATAAGAGTGCTATTATAATCCAACACCGTGGCATGAATACGGATTGAATCGTAATAATGCCTGTCGTTTATCCAGGAAAGCCTCACGCTGTCTTACGACCCTGTCTCCGGAGGGTACGGCATTGGGTGGCCTTGACCAATTCCATTCCTGAGTGCTTAGTACATGGGAAGAAACTCGGAGCAAACCCTCACCTTCACGGAGATTACACTCGCAGTGCCACACAGATTAGATTCACTTGACTTGCTGCCATCTCTGGCCCTGTCAAAGCCCGCAGGTTTGGGGGTTTGGCAGAACGTGCCATGTTACAGCCGTTAGCACTGCACCCGGTTTTCCGCTCGCTCAATCTGTTCACAAAAGACAATGATCCCACTGTGTAGCCTCAACAGACTGTTGGGGCAAGTGCTGTTCGCGAGCATCTATAGAGGCCGGAATGGCACACGAGAGGGTTGGGTGGCCAGCATCACGCCCGGCCACCTTTTGTCTCCTGAGTGGTGATGTTTACACACCGCACCAGGTACTCATTCGAGGCTGAGTCGACCTCGTGGAGGCCCAGGACTCGGATCAGATATTCGTCACTGGTGTTGGCCTTGAACCCGGGGATCGAACTTGAGTCGCCGGGATCATAGTGCAGCACGCTCACCGCTAACACCACCGCTCCGTTCACACGCACTCGTGTCTCTTGAGACAAAAGGAAATTTACTGCTTGACAAATTGTCCGCAACGGACCCTCGTCTCAAGCACTTCGTTCACTTCCACAGTTGCGCACGCACAGCCGCCACCGACGTCGTTACGCCCATACAGCGTCCTCTGAAAGTCCCCTGTGGCGTCGCTGTTGATCTAACGAAGTCGCCCCGGAGTAATCTGAACACTGGGAACCATAAACACTTGCTTTGAATGAGCGCTGTGGCCCCTTGGCATCCTTTCAAATGAACGTGGCATGCCAGACCTCCTTGTTCAGTGCATTAATCAACATGATCATAATTGTCGTGCTTTGTTAACCCACCGCTGGGTGAAGGCTCCCCACACCGTGTTGGTCGTGGAGGTGAACAGGAGGAGCGATTCAGTTGGCACTTGCCACTTTATGTTTAGCCATGGCTGGCAATCAATCCCGGGTTCACTTTTTTCGTACCGTGCGATGCGGTGACCACCGTCTTTGTTCGATGGCCAGCCAGAAGCCGCTGCTGCGATGATGACCGGAGTTCGCGTGATGTTTTATGCTCCTTGACGAGATCAGCAAGGTATTGTGGTTCATTTGTGGCAAGGATTTTGTGTGGAATGAGCACGATCATATAATGTATTCGTTCGGCAACCGGGTCGGGTTTGTCTGCTAAAGGGGTTTGTTTTGTGAGTGTTATCAGTTTGAAAGGCGATGCGTGTTACTACGGAAAAACACATTTTCAACAAGACCCCACCAATTGTTTTAATTTTGTGTGGATGCAGAGGCTCCCTTGGCACTTGTAGCTGGGGTTGGGCCTTTGTGTTTTATTTAACCTGAAAACAATTGCGCATTGTTACCGAGTTGCTTCTCTGATGAACTATTCCCATTGTGGGGAAATGTTTCATAGAGCCAAGTGGTCGCGTTGCCTGGCCAACAAAAATAACAGTGAATGTTCCATATATGACTGTGGCCATAGTGATGGTGAGACTTACATTCAATTGAATGTTAAAAATCATTGGTGTAGGGCATTTTATTTCACAATGAACATTTTAAATATCAATGCAAACGAACAACGGTAGATTTCACATTTCCTTCGTGCGTAAAAACATTAATTGAGTTCATCGTGTGTACGTTTCACAATATCTGCTGTACGCAGGATCCTATGTATTTATGCGCAACCCATTTGTCAATCCACTGCTGGAGGGCTTCTTCCCACGCCACGTGGTCATAATGCCGGTTATTCAGCTACACTTCATTGTGCACAGTACAGTACAACAGTGGGTGTTTTGTTTTCGCCGCCCTCTGCTGGCGATGTAGTGCTGCAGCAGCCTGTTGCACCTGTTTTTTTCACTGTTGCCCATGTGACCACCAAAATTAAGAAAAAAATCTATTTTAGCAGGTAAGGCCAAGCGGTCTGGCCACAAATGATAGCTCAACCAAGTAGCTTATCACCTGGCAATGTATGGCAGGCAAATACTCTTAGCGCATGTCAATTCTAAATGTGCAGGGAAAAACCGGAGAGAAATCCACGCGACCACGGTGAGAACATGCAGACTCCGAATATACAGCAGCAGGCGTTAGGGTCGTGATCGAACCCACGACCTCCTGTTTGCCAGGCGAGGTATTTAACATCTCGCCACCAGGCTCAAAATCCCGCTGAGCTTGGTGAACTTTCGTCACAGCGAGAGTAAAGGCGCAGCCCTGCAATAACTCACTCACGCCACTGTTAGTGGAAGGGCCTCCACTTTAGGTAGTTCTAGAGCCCCCTCTAGAAGCTACTTTGGCCTAATATTTCACGCTGGCCAGACCTCTTGAAGGATGTGGGAGCACGCACACTTTACCACCACCACCACACACATATGTGACCTGCCGATCGACTGCATAGTGGTGAACCCACCGGTGGGTGGACAGAGGCGGCGTGGGTTTAATAAACTAGCGCCGTTGTTTCAACTGCCGGCGACTTGTGGATTGCAAGTCGAGTGTGCTAACCATTCCAGTGTGGAAGCATCTCGTTTTAAAGTTTACACCCCGTGTGATGCTCCCCTGTGACACTCTCATGCTATGCTCCCCAGTGATGCTCCCGTGTGCCATGCCCCCGTGTTGTGCTCCGTGCTGTGCTTCTGTGTGACGCTGCTTTGTGACACTCCTGTGTCTTGCGCCCGTGTGACGCTCTTATGTTGTGCTCCCGTGTGTCGCCCCTTCCAGTTCATCGTGGAGTGCCACGGGAACACGCTGCTCCCACAGTTCCTGGGCATGTACCGGCTCACGGTGGACGGCGTGGAGACCTACATGGTGGTGACGCGCAACGTCTTCAGCCAGCGCCTCGTCGTGCATCGCAAGTACGACCTCAAGGTGGGTTCGCTGAAGTCGGAGGCGTTGGAGGGGGCTGAGGTGGGGGGGGGGGGCGGTGTGCGTTGCGGCGGAACGCTTTGCTCTCCACGCACGCCGCGCGGAAACAAATGCGGGCGGGAAGAGGGCCGCCCGTCAACAAGAGCGACGACCGCCGTTGAATGGCAATGATGCTTGTAAGAGCGCGTGCAGGTAGTTAACGACGGGGGCGGTGTGTCCATCGGGTCCCGTGAGCCTCACCGCAGCTCGCACCCCGCTGGCTTGGCTTCGGTGCGGCAGGCGTTTGCGGTTAATGTTTTGCCGGCCGACCCGTGCGCTATCGCTTTCTCTCCTCTGTCCGTTTCACCCGATTGCTCTTCTTCCTCTTACCTTTCTCGAGCCTGCCTCTCATTCTCTTCATCACAGCCTGGGGTCACTACGATTGTCTGTATGTACTGTATGTTGAACTTCTTCTGCACCATACTTAGCCAACCGCGCTAATCGGAGGTGCGGGGGGTTGTGTTTAGGTGTTGACAATTCGCGCCAGATTCAACGTTTCTTGCCGCATCTCCCTCGCCGTGCCCAACCGCACGGTCATAATTAGTCTCGTGCCTCCGTGTTGCCGTGCGTTCACAGGCGGTGTGATTAGTATTCTCAAGGTAAGTGCTTACCTAATTAAATCTTAAACTTTCGCTCGGGAGAGGCGCGTCTGTGCGGGGTTGCATAAGCCAAGAAGCCTCGGAGCATTAAGCGGCAATTGGCTTTGGAAGGCAATAAGGAAAGAAACCACGGTAATTTTATTCAAGTGTAATGTTTGATGTTAATTGAATGATGATAATAACTATTTCCTCAAACTTTTAGTATTAAATCTTGACTTAAAGCTTTCGTGGCTGCAGGAATTCATGTTCGTTGGGTCTTTCGGTAAAGTCACAGTAGATAGGTTTAAAGAAAATAACCAAAAAATTACAAAAAAAAATACAAAAAGGTACGACTGCATTCAGCAGCTTTTCCTGCTGATGACGATCGCTTGTGTTCTTTTAGTAGTTCTTTTAGTATTTATTTCATTTGGTTCCTTGAAAATTTTAAACAAAATTTTCCCAATTCAGATCATTTGTAATGTTTCACTATGCAATCCAGAGGTCGCCGGTTCGGTCGCCCGGCACAGCAGTCGAAACAATGGTGCAAGTTTCTTCAATGCACCACCGCTGCCTCTGTCCAGCCAGCGCTCATCAAGTGGTACCCCAGAGCTCGCCAATCAGCAGGTCGCGTGCCAGAGCTCCCAAACCCCATCGAAGACTGCTGGTCGGCATGGAACAATTGGCCAAATACGAGAATCACCTTACGAGCCTCCTCTACATGAGGTCCTCTTGCCAAGCGATTCGTCATCATCATCATCATCACGATCCGTAGGAAGATAGCCCATAGTTGTCTACTGCACATTTTGTCATTTCTTTCCACTCTGCTCTGTATCGTGGCAATATGCACAAGTAGTGGCCACATCTTTCTGGCACCGAACTCTCATGTCGTCGTCGTCTTCATCAAGCCAGTCTCTGTGAGGTTTTCCTCTCTTTCCGGTTCCTTCCATTTTTTCCTAACAACACACTTAGATTTTCTTTGTTGTCCATCCTACAAGCGATTGCAGGGCTCTATAGAGCGAGCTGTATACACCGCCCCTTACCGATGTTATGGTCAAGTATTGCTCGGTATATTTAAAAATCCGCATTTATTTATTTTGCTGGCCTCTCCGGTTTAGTGAGGTTTTACTGTATTTTCAATGAGAAAATTTGCTCCATTTCCTGAACTATTATCCCCTAATACGTTGCAGTCGTGAGTGTAATTACGCTACGCTCAAAAGCATGGTTACAGCAAAAGGTTAAATAATTTGCTTGCATCGTTGGTGTTTGTGTGTGTATATATATATATAGAGTGGACGAACTCTCAGCTCAATTAAAGGAACCGGGTTGATGGGCTGTGTTGTGCTTGACAACGTCTGTCCTCGCATGCCATGCTTGATGCGAGTGGTCGTCGTGGTGACACTCGGGTAATGAATGTGCTGGGCACGCGCTTGCCCCATTAAGCTTAAGCCATTGCACATTCCGTGTCACACCCCGCCACCCAAAGCAGCACTTGGCAGTAATTATTACATTTATTACCTCAGAAATTATGGTGACTGGGAAAGATAGCTTAATTGCCATTTAAAAAAAAAAAGATAATTGCTCCACTTATTTCTCAGCTTTATTTTAAATCGCCCGGGGGCGCTTCTCACCGTTCCGAGGATGCGTTAGCGCCAAGTAATTGCAACGACTTAACTCGGGTTGGAGTGACGATTTCTGTTTGAGCTGTAAAGATTTAGTTTAAATGTCCGAATCTCGGGAAGACAGAAAAAAAAAAGCAATTGTGAATACGCCGTGAGAGCGGTCCGTGTGTGTGGGGCGGGGGGCGGGGAGCGGGGGGGGGCGGGGGGCGGGGAGCCAGCTGCCTCATCGGTCAGAGCAACGCAGCCGGCGCTTTTGAGAAGCTGGGTTCGAATCTGGGTTCCAGCAGCCCCGTGGTTAAACCAGATTCTCAAGTGTCGCCCGTTTACGGATTCAGCCCGATCACCCACGGCTGAACAGAATATTTTCCTTTTAAATTCGTTTAATTCTTGATTGAAGAATAATATTTTTGTTTTAATGTTAGTTTGGCGACCAGAGAACGAATAAGAGGAGGGTGCCTGGCAACGTGGAGTGCCCTCAGTGTGGATAAGAGGCCACTCTCAGGGGACCTTAGAAGTGGCTCTGTGATGTAATTTTCTGCGAGCTATTCTCAAGGTGCGGCAATTCACTGATTTGCAAGAGATACGAAGAAACGCGTTGTCTCGGTATGACACCGACCGCATTTTCCGGACTAAAATTGGTGAAAAAAGGCAAAGTAATTATATCATCCACATTGTGAATGAGAGCAAAACGCACACAGGATTTCACAAATATAAATTACCCCACAAGTGGTTGTTGTGTTTCTCGTCCGGGTTGGCGCTTGGCTCGCGTGCTGCGTATCTGTCGCGGTCATGCCAGCTTCACGTTGTTTTTTATTTTACACCAGCGGTGGCATCTGCGCCGTTCCTGACCAGGGCGCCGCATTGGCAAGATGTTCGTCGTGAATGCGTTCCTGAAAGGCGCGACGACAAATCAATCCGATTGAGACCTCCTTGGCCAGTAGCAAATTATAGTAATAGGGTTTTACCCTTTTATCTGGCACCAAAATGACACCTTTATACAAGGGATCATGTTTGCAATAACTACAACACATGCAGAGACTAGGCTCCACTGGTGTTGGACCAGATGATGCCAAAAGCCGTCTAGGGTGTGCACCAAACAATTTCAAGGACAGTGCATATCATTATCAGAGTTGTCTCTTTTTGATTGCATTTTGACTGCTTGTGTTGCATTTTGACTGCTTGTGTTGTGGTTATTACAAAACATGATCCCTTGTATAAAGGTGTCAGTTTTGGTGCCAGATGAAAGGGTAAAAACCTATTTCGACGTCAATCAGATTGATTTACAGGCTAGTCGGTGGGTGCGAAGGCTGAGAGGCGACGGATAACGAGAAAGGATGGACGACGCTGTCAGCGGACGTTGAGTGTGCGGCTTGAGACGACGCATATCAGGTTGCGGCGTTAACTATAAAGTGGCGACGCATTTGTGTCGCCACTGCATTGCGTTAGATTAATCCATCGGAATGCCTGACAGACTTTCCCCCATTATCCACGCCCAACCGACTCCCGAACGAGAATGGACGTCGAACCGGCCGTAGCCGCTGTGGACGGGCCGTTACCTTCACCACCCTCTTCGAAACTGGTTTCCGGCGTAAACACCTAAAAGTTAACAGGGCTATGATCAGCATCTCCACCGCTGCCGCCGGTGACACAACGTTTGGCATCGCGGCCTGCTGCTCAAGGTGGCGAAAAATCATCAGATGCCATTCTTGCTGGCCACCCCATCGACATGATGCTCAGCAACCGTATTCCATACCTGTCAACCCCTTATCAGTGCCCTAGCTCATTACAGACCAGCTCAGACCCTACTGGTCACCCCATGCCCCGTACAAATCTCAACGTTCATCCTACAAAGTCCCATCACAAGGGAGACACAAACAAATCGACAAAACGTGTTTTTTTGTTCCCCGTAGTGAAACGGCTGTACGCCATATGGACCTGAAAACTCAATTTCCCTGTACAGGAATACTGGTAAACCGTGTGGGTTGACAGGTATGGTACTGTCAGGGTGAACACCTCGCTGGGTAAACACAGCTGGAAAAGAATGAGGAAAAATGTCCCCCCTCAAGGCTCAGTACGAGCACCATCACTATTTAACATCTACAACGTAGTCGGCTTTCGCGACCAATAATTGGCTTAACTTTGCTTTCTTATCTGCTTCCGCCCCTGCATCACAAAGCTTCAGTTTGAACTCCATGCATTACCTCCCAGCCCACACCATACCTCCTTCCCCCGCAACTATATAATTCTTTGTCACAGCCATCTCTTAGACACACTTAAGCGGTGTGCTTTCGCTGCGTTGTCCCCACCTGAAGACGGACGCTTGTGTTGCGCCCGGAACGTCGTGATTTGATTTAGTTATTTTAATGTATTTTATTTTATACCTACGTGACTTTACCGAAAAAACCAAAGAGTATGGATCCTTGCAGTCACGAAAACTTCAAATCTAGAATAATTTGGGTAGGATGGCGTAAATATGAGTGTTGTTGAACCCGCCACCACCCGACACAGCCATTTAGTAAGGTTTGTCATGTAAATTAAACATGCTAATTCGTTATTACTTCAACACACCAGTGCTTTGGAGATGAAACCCACAACATTTCCAATTCGGGTTCCACGTTTCGCCGGTAATTACAACCAGCCTCATCAGGCGGCAGCCAGAGTTGTGGAGAAATCCTCCTCCTGTTTCATTCTTGAATAGAGGGATGAATGTGATGTCGTCGCTTGTGAGCCAATCGGGGCCAGAGACCAGTGAGGGTGGGGGTTAATG